GTCGTGTATAAATTAAAGATTGTTAAGAAAATAAGAGGTGAGTGAATCAAAAGTTATTGAGAAACTGGTATATTTCTTTCAAAGATCATAAAATCAAAACTATTCTTCCTCCCCTGTAGCATTCAGTAGGAAGGTTTTACTGTATTTACTTTTGATTTACAATAATAGATTAGCTGAGATGTTAACACTGCTAATGATATCAGCAAAATTTATTACAGTGAGAAATGTTTCCCTGTTCTTAATACAGCTGTATGCAACAGTATTCGTCATCCAGTTACTAAAGATATACTTCTGGATTATATAGAACGTAACAGGTGGTCTGAAAGTGATCAGGATTTGATGCCACCACCTGTTAAGGTCCCACGAAGGTGAACTCAACATATCAGGCACCAAGAACTGCATCATTCAGGGCTGAAGGTTCATTCTTTTTGGAATCAAAGGTATTAAGTATACAAGTGGAATGTGGTCTGCAAATTATGATGTTTATTCATATGTAGTACTGCCTATGAAATAAATAAGCATGCAATAAACAGTAGAACTGTAACTGTGAAATGGAAGAAAGAATAAAAGTGTGCATATGAAAGGTGCATCAACAAATCTTCCCCTTTGTGTTATCATATAGTCGGAAATCACGAACATGTAGCCCCATGAAAGACGTTCATCTACCCATGAATGTAAGTGTTTTAATGGAATTTGGGTGAAGTGTCAACATTTTCACTTAAATCAAGGGGCACATTCTTGTATAATACTTTGGAAATAGCAAACTACAAAATTAAATAGCTGTATCTGATGTTAAGATTATATCATAGGACTGAGTTTGCTTTTGTATTGCTACAAGATTGTTGAAATTTTCACACGTCACCTCACACACAGTAGATAATGAAACATTTATGCATATATGCTTGTCATTTTGATATACGTATCTCGTGAAACTGTAACATATTTTTAAATGTAATTCTTTTTTTGGCTATGTGTGTACAGTAGTTGAAATCTAGATCACATCTGGCAGTGCTGTTTTGCTGATCCTGAAACTTAAAACAAAAAGTTTCTTTGGATAATATGTAGCACCTATGAAGATACTGTCTAGAAGTCAGTAATTCGGTTTGAGTACACAGTGCATCTTCATCAATCCTGTTTTTAAATACTGAGATAACCTCTTTTCAATCTGCATTAATGAATTATATTTTTAAAGGTTTCATTTTGATAGCTTTTACCACAATAAGCTTTAGATTTTAAATTTCCTCACAAATAGAAGCCACAGTTAGACTTGACTGTGAGAATGAAGACGAGCAGCCACGATTGAGTTTTAATTCTGTGAACGCAAATGTGGTATGTTTGTGGCAAGGAAAATATGCTCTTAATTTCATTTATTTTAGCAATGCAAAGTCAGTTTTTTTAAATACAGTCCATTACAAGACTGTTTGTGGCTCCCTGTTTGTTGTAATAACCCTAGCGGTGCAAAGTCAGTTTTTTTAATTACAGTCCATTACAAGACTGCTTGTGGCTCCCTGTTTGTTGTAATAACCCCCAGTTTTTTGGCTACCATGAAAATACAAAATATGCCAAATTTAAAATAACATTTTGGAAGGACACAGCGTTATTTCTTCAGATATAAATGAGACATTTTATATTAATTGAAGTGGATAGATTAATTTTACATACATTTTAATGCACAGAATCATGACAGTAGTGACATTCCTATTTTATAAATCAGACCAGTTTATTTTGAAAGTACTTGGTTTTGAACTGGCAGTTCCAAGTTCTATTAAATGTAATTGTTTACACCATGCAGTATAAAATTCTTGTGTGCAGCTCTTAGTACCTACCACATTTATAACTTTCATTTTCTGAACTGAAAAATGTTCATGGTCGTACATGGTGAGATGAAAGATGATCTTTAATGGTGCCACTTAAATGTATCCTTTCATTCTCTGACCTTGGTGACAGTGGAATGGAAAATTAGTTTTCATTAATACATAAACATAATTAGTATATTAGTATCCATTTATTTGTAGTAAGTAACATATTTCTTTAACTTATCCTTGGTTGTGATTGTTGAGATTGTTATTTATTAATTTTCAGAGATATATTTATTGAAACACCAGACTCAAAGTAGTATTTTAAATAAATGTGAATTATATCCAGTGGCATAGAGCAAACCATTTGCATGGTGACCTATTTTGCTTTGTGTGGTGTATTGGAAACTTTCAGAACATACAGATCTAATTACAGTTTAATTCTTTTTTGACTAAAATACCAGATTTCTGTAATTTTTGTAACACTGTGCAGTGTGATTGTGTTTAACAGATTACTCAGAACACTTTCTTCTGTAGAAAATGTGCAGGCATATATGTGGTCATTTGGGAATTTATTGAAGATTTATTGGTCATTTTAATTGTTTGCATCATCAACATCCACTGCAGTCTTCGTTGTATTTCTGTGACAAGTGTAATGTAGAGCAGACATTCTTAACCTTATGTAATGAGAAACCAGAAGTTGCATGTATCTCCCACATTATAACCCCTAGCTTCCATCACACACTTTTTATCAAAATCAGTTTTGGGATATCAGAATATAGACACGACTTGAATAAGTGTGTACATGTGCATGTGCACACAAGGTAATCAATGTCAGAATTTCAGTGCTACAGATTATTTTTGAATTTCTTGCTTTGTCTGTAACTTACCTTTATTTATTTTTATATAATTTTTTTCATCTTTCATAACCCCTTAATTTTCTCTGTATTATCTTTTCATTTCTTTGTTTCCTGTGATCTTCACTGTTGGTCTCCTGTCAGCCCTGATAAGGGCTTTTTTATTTCCTTCCTTGCATGTTACACTGGTATCTACCTGTGTCCTTCATTTTGTTTGTTCCTCTCCACATTTCACATGTTTCATTTTCCTGTGTAGTTCCATGGTTTTACCTCTGCCCTGGCCTTGTCCAAAGATGATGGAGGCAGTAAGCATCTCTGAAATGCCAGTCAATTTGTACCAAACTTATATGGTGCAGTATCCCATAAGGCAGACATTTTCATGTATATGTTTGTTTCTGTGTGGTGAATGATTAAAATTAATGGTATTTGTAATTGACTTTTCAAATGACCGTACTTTATTTTTGACTAGAAAAAAGTATAAGTTCATTGCTTAGATGAAGACTGTGAATCTGCCCATGTAAATTTCAAGGAAAATTATTGATTTCAACTGTATGTTGTAAACTTGTTCAGGAATATTTTGTATATAAATTTAGAAGGAAATATCCCTCAAGCCATTCTCATCAACTTCACAGTGTTAATCTCTATTTCCAGTGGCATGAAAATGAAAATTTTAAAGTTTAAAAATGTCACCAGTTCTTACCCCACCAGCCAAATGATCATTGAGCAGGAATATACATTTTGGAAGGTGTTAATAATGTAAATACTTTATTTTAAGTGCAAAGAATAAAAACATGAAGGAGAACTAAATATTACTGAGATGTTCTTTTAAGCTTATGTATGATGAAACACTGCATTTACCAGCTTGATTATTAAGGCTTTGACCGGGATGTTAAATCTTATGTGGTACCGCCTGATTTGACTTCTAATGGTTAAGTGAAGTGTTTTCTTCGCGGTACGGTCTGGATTCGTAAATATTATGAAGACGATCTTCGGCTTCAAAGGGTTAACCAGCTGATTTTCGTAATGGTGAGGTGTAGTGTTTTCTTCGCGGTACAGACTGAATTCATAAATAATATTCAGACGATCTTCGGCTTCAAAGGGTTAAAGCACTACATTTACTTAGTGTAACACAGAATTGTAACAGAAAACATGGTATAGTACACATCTGCATTATAAACAGCATCCAGCACCCATTTTTGAAAAGTATACTCTGAATTAACAAATTCTATGCCATGAATGTCAATAAAATTCCTGCATCAGATATTAAAATGAGAAAATACAATTTATCGTGAATGGCAAATCTGTGAATATGACTACCAAATCTACTTACTGATATCTGTGGCATAACAGCTCTCTTGAGAGCCAAAGCCGACTAGCTTGACTGCTGGCCTCACGTTCACATGCCTAAGCAGAGGTGAACGATCATCCAACCAGATATTGGGTGACGTGTGGTCAGCACGATTACCCCCCAGCCATTGCTAGCTTTCCCGACCAGATCACGCTACCCATTGTAGCTCCCCAATTTCCTCATGATGCTGGGTTGGCACTGGTCAAAAATCTCATGAGAAATTTCTTTCCCCGAGACTCGAACCAGCGCGCATTCTGTATCGCCGGTCCGAAGCATGATGCCTCAGACAGCGCGGCTGTGGCGCGGTACTACCAAATCTACTTACAACTGGGCATATAAGTGTGATTTTTAAAGAAATGTATTATATATAATGACATACAGTAACAAAGAATATGATATACTAGAGCAACGCGCTACTTTTGGAGAGCTTTCTCTAGAGTCCTTCCAATACAACAATGCAGAATAAACAAATGACGTAACATTTTTTATTCTGTGATTTCAAATAGTAAAAATGTGACACTTTTACATTTATCGATAAATTTTCTAGATTTTGTAATGTGATTATCGTCAAAGATTATCCATTCATCATTATAATGTTGCCATGCTTTAAAACGTCCGTCGTTTCCAGTACCATTAATGTCTACAAATTCGACAGAAATATTTTCTCACAACAGTTGTCGAAAGATGTAAGTATCTTATTTCCTATATTCCCATTAACTCTATCACAAACTTTCCTAGCAACCCAGTGTACCAATAAGAAAGCTTGTACACTCTAATTCAGATTACAGTCACTCACTGAGTTTAAAATAATTATAGCTTTTCTGCACTGCTAAGATAAATGAATGCCAGTACAAGCTCCAAATTTTTAAATCTAATTCCAGTAAAGAAATATGTGATATCTGGCTTGTCATAAAATGTTTATGGAAGTCTGACAAGAAACTAAGGTACGGTGATTGATGTTCATAGGTTGGACTCTAGTTTGTTGTATTGCCACTCAGAGCCGCACTGAAGCACCTTCTTTTCCTTCAGCAACTTGTAGAGATGATGATTTACATTTGAAGCCGCTGCAGTATGCAGATTTTTTGGAGTATCCTAAAATGACATTTATTTTCAGCATAAGAAAAGTGCAATTACTTTCTCATACTGCTTTTAATTTACTAACTCCATGCAGCAGTCATTATTGCTCAGCTAGTCAAGACATTCCCCACCCTTTACAGAACCTGAAGATTCATTATCATGTTTACAACAGCCCACCACAATTCTCTCTCTCAGCCGGATGAATCCAATCCACACCCTCCAATGCTATATTCCTTAGATCCATTTTAATATTATCCCCCAATCTACACCTAGATTTTCCAAGTACTCTTTTCCTTTCAGGATTACCAATCATAATGTTGTATGCATTTCTCATGCATGCCTAATAATATTTGGTGAGCAGTACAAATTATAGACTTCCTAATTATGCAATTTCCTCTAGGCTTCTGTCTCCGTTACATCCGAATATTCTCCAAAGCCTCCTGTTATCAAACGCCCTAAATTTTTGTTCTTCCAAGAAAGACCAAGATTTACACCCATACAAAACTACACAACAGATTATTCTCTCATGCCATGGGAAGAACACAGATTGAGTGTGTCCGAGAATGGCCTTCTTAGAATATCTGGATCTAAAAAAGAAGAAGTAAGAGGAGGATGGGCAAAATTATGATGTAACTTGCAGATCATATTTTGCAGTTCCAATAATAATGATGATGGTGGTGATAGAGGTTTTTTCTGTTCTTAATATTAGTATTTCTAAACTTTCCATGTACGTACAGATAGCCTGGCTTGTACTTGTTTTAATATATTGGTATGAGAAAAACACTTACAGTATAAATGATCTTCACTATGTCCATTTCTGACATCTTTGTACCTTTTTCTTTCAGTACTCGAACAATTTCTTCTTCTCTCTTATTCCTGTGGTTAATATAATACTCAATTTTTGGCAACGGATCCTGAATCAGAGAAGGTATAAGTCTAGATAGTAATACATATATAAATATTTTAGTGACTGGAGACTTTTAAATTCTTAAGGTTAAAATAAGGTGTAAGATGTAAAATTAATTTTCTAGTCTCATGAATTTACTAGAGAAAATAATAAATTGTGGGTTGAAGTCAAATAATTAATCTCACTGGTCCTGTGTCTTGACATTTAATAACATAACAATTATATGTCAGAAAACAGCTTGTCACAGAAAAAATCCTATTAAAACATAATATTTAAAATGCGGACTCACCTGTACCTTACGAAAATATTCTACAGTAATTTTGTATGTGCCTCTGGAATATTAACATACCTCCACCACTGGTCCATGGCCAGGATACATGCAGGTGGGTTTCAGTTCTAATATTCGTTGCAAGGAATTCATGTAGTCATACAAGTCTTCAAAAACAGCAGTGCCTTCACCCAGTATGCAGTCCCCACTAAACAAGCAGTTTTCTTCTAATAGTGATAATACAATGTGATCTTTTGTATGGCCAGGAGTGTGAATAACTCTGCAAGAATAAAATTGGCACAACCAAAATATTTTAAAGCTTCTTAGCATGTCTTTTCAAATATATTAATGAAATACAAAGATGATATCTAGAAAAATGTTAATGAAAACAGGGTTTAAATAAAAAAAGGAAGTTTGATTACTAACCTACTTTTGATTCAGTGTAATACATTCCGTCTCTTCAAAACAGAAATTAAATGTATTACCGTCTGTAATTGTGGTATATCTAAACTCCATCAGATTTTAAAAATGTCTGGAAGCTACATAAAATCTTTCGCCTTTATCAGACTGCAGTTACTTTTAAAAAAGTTTCAACACACTAAGACATGATTTTAGGTAAATTTGGCTTGGAAGCTAGGTATATGTGCTACTGCTTTGTGGTTTGTTTCTGATGTGTTAAAGTAAAAAAAAAGTCACTTCATCTTGCCTGAGTGTTGCTCCTTCTGTTCTAATTTCTTCTCCATCCTTAAGATAATTCAGGAGAATGTTATTTGGTAATGGTAAATCAGGAGGATCAATGCACTTGAACTTCCATACCGTGCAGCCTACAGAATAAGAAATTTATACAAAAAATAAGTTCTAAAAGAATGTCATGAGTATGCTAAGGAAACATAAGAAAGTTAACTTTCATCATACATAAATAGGGGATTTATACTCCAGTACTTAGTAGGTCAGTCAGTCTTTAACCCTTGGTTTAAAGGGGTTTAGTGGTATGCTACACAGGGACCGGTAAAGGGCTTTGGTTAATTCGGTGATGAACCTTTGGGTTCCCTAAGCCATCTAGTTAGTTAGTAGTATGCTAGTGTCCTGGTCATAAGCTACAACACACAGCTGATAAAATTTAAAGTCATTATATGCAAAATTTTGTAATGTTTATACCTAAACAACAGCTCCAGCACTATAGTGCTATTTTATAATCTCTAATCATAAGAGTAGTGGCAAATTAAAGTAAATAATTCATTGTTTACTACATCAGGAAAGGTCATATGCTAAAACTGAGTATGATCAGGTCTGTAATATGTGTGGCTTGTACCACGGCAAATCCTGGGGAAGTAGTGGGACATGATTGATTCCTCCAAAATTCCTTCTGATTTATAATTTCTACCTAAACAATAAGCTATAAATTAATCAGCTAATAATACTGTTGGGTTCTTAACAGACTAACATTATAAATTATGGTGCCTCTGCATTATGTTAATAATTGGATTGCAGCAGTCAACTATGCCAGGTTCAATTAGTGTTATGATGACAAATAATTGGACCAGAAGCTCACCATTATCCAGTCTGCTTACAACATCATGTACTCCTCCAATATGATCATGATGCCAGTGTGTAACAATAATGTGTTCCAAATCTATATTTTCTTCCTTCAGAACTTTTTCTAGTCTCTTCATGTACTGTATATCATTTTGCTCACCAGCATCCAGTAAAATTCTTCTAAATACATGGAAAACATGTATTTTATCAATACTGAATGGGAATCATATGAACCCAAATGGTATTGCTTCCTTATATTTAAGTGGTAACAGTGACTGATAATTATGATCCCAATGTTAACAAAAATAGTGGGATATAAATTAATATACGGTCTCTGGCAGTGAAGATGGAAGAAGAAAACCTGCATCCATGACTAAATGGCAATATTTCAGACAAGGGTACTAGTGCCACTGAATGTGATGCTGCAAATGGTGACGGTGACAAAGAAAACATGCCAGCAATAAATGTATACTATTAGATACCTTTCTGGTTAAAATTATGGATTTACAGTCATACATTATAATTGCCAAGAAAGGATATTTCATCAACAGGGTTTCATAGGTATCGGCACAGTAATTGGCGGTTATGATATGTTTTACCAGCAGAGAACTATAACGTTTTTGTTGGACGTAAAATAACAACATCGCATCTGTGCGATATTTGTTTTTAGTATTCCATTTGCTAGCGACTTCTTTTGCACATATGCATATGAATGTTATTATGTTTATAAAGCCTAAATTGGCCTATAATTTTTTACGGATAAATTTTTTGTAAGGAATTACAGGTAGGGAGGATGTGAAAGTGTGGGGTTATGTTTGCCTAGGAGGACTAATGGCAATATCTACATCATTGTACAGAAAAGTGTCACCGAATGAAATAATTCCTTCGTAATATTTGGCAGCTTCTAAATACTACTAAAAGCATTTAATGAGAAGTAGGTTATGTGCTATGTTGCGATTCCAGGAAATTAATTTTCCATTTCATATTCAGTTGGCAACACTGAATAATAACTATAGCCACAGAGTAGTAATAAAACCACCTTTCTCCTGTTCCAATTATGTATGTATTTGTTCCCTGCAGTGTCATAGGACCAGGATTGCAGCACAACACTCGTATTATTCGTGATGAAAGCCTGGAGACTGATGGAATAGTAGCAGCCATTTGTAATTACAGAGAAAAACAGCAGTTACGTTTGATCTAGATAACAACCATAAGAACATACAACCGTTAAAATCAGTACGTACCAGATGACTCTGGTTTACGTTATCTAAATTTTGTATATTGCGCTCCGAACGGGAAAGGTTCAAACTATTATTACGTATCTGCACAGTATCCACCGTGCTCTCGGTTGCTAAATAAGCGGTGACCGTTGCCATTGGTAAAAATGGCAATTCCGCTGTATCGTTGGAGCCCAGTTATTAAAGGACAGTTTGGTACGTTAAACCTATGTATGTACATAGTACTTCACATATCTGTGTATTCAGTTAGTTTTTTAGAGTTGTATATTTTCCTTGATGCCGACTGTTCCCTAATAAAAATTTTAAAACCACGATTTTCTGTATGAATGAAACCGTATATGTATGCCTTGAAAAGTTGGCCAAATAATGAAATGAACGCTGGTTATATAACGTGTATATTATTATTCAGGTTATCTTGGTGTACAAGCCGTAAATGGTTTCCAGTACCGTTCCAACACAACCCAACCCACAAAAGTAAGTGTACACAATATTGAACAGCAAATAACATTTTAGACCTGTAAATCTTATTTTACTTTATTCTCTATGACAGTAATTGCCAAGTTGTGAACTCGGGTACAGTTTAGATTGCTCACAATACAGTCCAGTAACTGGCTTTTGTGAACTTGGTTTTGAATATATCAGTACCTGGTGTATCGCATATAGTGCATATTGCTTGCTTGGTAAAACTGCTTAATTATATATTTTTTACTTTTTTATTTCAGACCAAATTTGGGCCACTGCATGATAATGACCGCATATTCACAAATTTATATGGAAGATTTGATTGGAGACTGAAAGGTGCTTTGAAGAGGGGTGACTGGTATAAGACCAAAGAGATTCTCCTTAAAGGATCAGATTGGATTATAAGTGAGTTTAAAAGTTGTATGGAAGAGTTAACATTTGAGGTAATTTTCATTATCTGGTATTTTCTTTGCCATATTTATTCGAGTACTGTGTCCACTTTCATTTTCACAAAGGATGAATAAAAAATATAAATATTGATGACATTGCTATATTCTACTGAAGTTAGCTGTTGTCAGCTCACAGTTAAAGTATTGCATTCTGATACAGAGTTTTGTTCCTTTTTTTCAGCAATATATATGCTTTGTTTTATGGTTTAATCTCTTCTAGATACCATATACCCTTAAAAGTATAAGCATTTATTGCAAACAAATTGTACTGTATAAAATTTCTTCTGAATGATTTATTGCACAACGTATGTATAACATGTAAAATTCAAACTTTGATTTATGAGAACTATAAAAGATTAAATAGACAGATGGAGTGTGCACATCAGACATTTTTCCGTATGTACGTAGAAATTATCAGTCCAAGAGTGTGTTGTGCTGTTCTTCAGATGAAATCAAGACATCAGGTCTTCGAGGTAGAGGAGGAGCTGGTTTCCCTTCAGGAATGAAATGGAGCTTTATGAATAAACCATCAGATGGCAGGTATGTCATGTAACTGAAGAAGAACTTGCAAGAAAATTATATGTATGAAGCCTAACCAAAGCAGTTTAAGAATTGGTTAATGGACAAGATTATTTCTCTGTTTCCATTGATTATTTGTCCATATCCTGTACCATTGGAAGTCCTAAGTAGTATGTTTAATAATTAAAATCAGGAATATAATTGTAATATTTTGGATAAAATTAACTTATATGATAGCTGACAAATGCAGGTTAGATTAGCATCACTGCCACAGGTTCAGAAGGTTCTTCAGTTCTGATCAGACACATATATTGCATGTCTAGTATGTTTTTAGCTTTATTGTAGTGTCCTATATGTGAAATCATAGTATCTCTGATTTCTTGCACAAAGAAATCACTGTGTTAACATCTAAACATTTCAGTCCTTGGGAGATCAAATTGAGGTTTCATTATACTTTGTATTTGCTTTGTTCATTGTGGCATATTGTGATATTCATTAAATTATTTTGCTATTCTGCAGAAGCTACTGAAACAAATGTTTTCTGAAAGACCAAAGGTATATGTGTCATTGTTCTTCAGGGTTGTGATACTGTGTGGACTTGTTTCGCATGGCATCACAACCCGAAACAAAATTGATATTTCAACCACCATAAGAATCTCAGTTATCATAAAGGTATTTTTTTCAGGCCAAAATATCTTGTCGTGAATGCAGATGAAGGTGAACCAGGGACTTGTAAGGACAGAGAAATTATGCGCCATGACCCTCATAAGTTAGTAGAAGGCTGCTTAGTAGCAGGGAGAGCTATGGGTGCTCAAGCAGCGTATATTTATATCCGAGGAGAATTTTACAATGAGGCTTCAAACATGCAATTAGCAATTGCTGAGGTAAGTTTGTCTTTGGACTGATGAAATAAGTCATCATAGCTGAATTATGTTCAGCATAAGAAGGTTTATACAGTGAGATATTATTGCAGTAAACTTTCAGTTCACCACGGTGGTCCAGCGGTCAGAACACTGGCCTTGTAATCCTGGGGTCCTGGGTTCGATTCCCGGCGGTGCCCGAATTTATAACTTGTGTTGGGCAAGGCCGTGGTCTAGGCAACACGGAGTTTTCCTCCGGGGGCTTCCCCGGTTTCTCCGTGGCATCCCAACAATTACTCCATACACACAGAAGAAGGCAATGGCAAACCACTTCTGGATCATCTGCCAAGAACGTATATGAACAGGTCCCAGTCCGAGAAAAGGATGGAAGGATCCTGTTCATAATATGTCACCAACCTCCTGTAAACAAGATGGCGTAATAAAGAAGAAGACTTTCAGTTGTCCTTGGTAATGGTGGGGAGAACAGACGTTGTTAATAAAGTATTACTACTGTAGAATTCTATTTTATATACTTTTTTCTCCCACAGTTTAAATATTATTACGTAATTTTCCTTAGTCATATATACAACTTGTTTCCTAGTGGTGATTCTTGGTCTGCCAGTGCTTGATACCAGTTAGTGGGAAATAAATGTTTTATCATATGAATTTTCGTACTACATACCTCTCCCTCCAAAATGTATTGCATTGTCAAGAAATCAACTGATAAGGGACCTTTCCGAGCTACCCTGTAATGTTCCTCTTCGTTCTTTAACTGCTTAATTTCTGTGTCCTTCACATCTTAACATGTTTTTGTTGGAATTTATTATGCCTCTGATTCTCTTTAAACCTTTCAGGACATAGGAATCATTGACATCTATAAGGATATAGGGTACTTGTGGGTTATCGGGACACATCGCTTTAAAAATAGGTTAGGTGACGTTAGGTTAATGTGTGTGAATAAATGACATATACTTGAAAGTTATTATATTTTATTTGGATATGCACGAGATGTTAATTGTTACAACCTGTCTCCGGAAGCCAAAATTCGCTTATAGATTTTAGAATCGTTTTAAAAATATCGCTGTTATCATTTGTACGCCGCCACATGAACTTGGCTGAATATGAATCCAGATGATGTCGGGCCGAGCCTCTCTGTTTTTTTATTCCGTCATTTAGCTGATCCCCACAGTCTTTCTATTGTTTGGGTGTGTGCACCGGATTCTGGATCAACAACGACCGAGTATACGGGTTTACTGATACACATGCGCAGTTTTCTGTCCAATCCAAGTCCAAATTTTCGACTCTCCCGTTTTGTGTCCCGATAACCAACGAGTACCAGATATAGTATTATTATTTTTTGTAGGCATATCAAGCTGGCCTGATAGGGAAGAATGCTTGTGGATCAGGGTTTGACTTTGATGTATTCATGCATCGTGGGGCTGGAGCTTATATCTGTGGAGAGGAAACAGCATTGATTGAGTCTATTGAGGGGAAACAAGGAAAGCCCCGACTCAAGCCACCTTTCCCTGCTGATGTAGGAGTGTTTGGTTGTCCAACGACTGTCGCCAACGTGGAAACAGTGTCTGTAGCACCAGTAAGTTACACAGATTTCAGTGTACATGCTTATCTTGCATTGATGGGACGAAGAGTTAGGGTGGTTAATTGAAAAGTTGCTTAATTATGTTACAAATAATACGTAAATAAGAGGTAATAAGTATGATTTGAGGTTTTCACAGCGGTGAGTATGAAGATTTCTGTCTTCTGGGTTGTTGCGCCGTGAATATCATATTCATCGCCCTGATGACGGAGGCAGTATGTTTAGCATCGATCAGACTACACAGCGCAACAACCCAGAAGACAGAAATCTTCAAGAGGTAATAAACGTGCAGTTTGGAGTGAAATAATATCCTGGCACTTACTAAGTGTAATGATGATTTGTCAATTACAGATACACTATACATCACTTTTTCTTTTTGCACTCTTTTTTTTTTAGAAAACAAGAAAGCACTGAAAGAAAAATTTTAACAACACAAAACAACATAACCTGTGCCTGTGTGCCACTGAAAAGTTTTTAAAATAAAACGTGTGTAGCATAAAAGTGTAAACATCTTACATCTCATTCTGTGGCTCAAAATAGTTGAAAAGAGGAACCCTTCACCCAGTTTGATAGGTTTGAACTACAGTCCACAGACCAGGAGAAAATCCCTGCTAGGAATTTGATATATGTGCATGCGCAAGATTTCGCGGTGAGTGACGACCCATCCTAAAAGCATTCGTTCCACAACCACTGAACGAACAACAGGCTTTCATGTGTTCTAATGGGTACAGCTTTAAGATTACCTCACATTGACACAGTGATTTAATCTAGAATATTATCACAACACCCGCAGAACACATTAGAGGTGGACTCACTACACGCTACTCTTAACTGCTTGATGTTTTCAGTCTGAGTGTAGTAGTGTAAAACTGACGTATCACACTTCCCACCAATAGCAGCCCTCTAGTTCACTTGATAGTAAACAATCCCCCTGCACCGCCCCAGAAACGACTTCCCCCCGCAGGGCTTTTCTCCTGGTCTGTGGACAGTTGACTCAGTTTTGTTCCACAATGTATTGACTAACAGTATTTCAGTGTTTGCCTATGACGAACATGGATTCCGACAGCAGTTTTCATCTAGTTTACTGATCTGGAATGTCTTGATCAGTCCATGCTACATACACCCTCCTATCCAGTGGACAGCAGGAGGTGACCTTTTTCTCCAGAAATACAATTGCCAGGGTGTAATCACTCATTTACATATAGTACTGAAGTTAAGAATATGTCTCCTGTCTGTATTTGCTTTAGTTGATTCAGGTTTTCCCCTTAGTTTACATGAGCAATATTAAAACTCTTCTTCTAGACCATCTGTCGCAGAGGTGGAAGCTGGTTTGTAAGTTTTGGTAGACCACGAAACTCTGGCACTAAACTGTTCAACATATCTGGTCATGTGGTCAACCCATGCACAGTAGAGGAAGAAATGTCTATTCCATTGAAGGAGCTGATTGAACTTCATTCTGGTGGTGTAACCGGTGGTTGGGATAACTTGCTGGCAATTATCCCAGGAGGATCTTCCACACCCCTCATACCAAAACAGTGAGTTCACATTTAAACACCAAAGAAATGTATCCTTAGGAAAATTGGGTTAAGACTATGCATATTGAAAATTGCATAAGGGAAAAGTGCATCCTCTAAATAAGTTTAGGGTTGGGCTTATGGAATGTGAGTTATTTTCTTCTCCTTTGTTGAAATGAACAAGGGTGCAGGAAAATGTTTTAATATTTATAGTGGAGTTTAAATTTGTCAGTTCATTTTTATGTAGTCAGTACACAAGTATGAAATTTGTGGGGAGATCTGTTGTCCATGTAAATGTGTTGTATTTCAACAGGGTTGACTTATTTCTTAGACAAATATAATTCTTCCCTGTGTTTCACTGTGTGGGTCATGTTAGGCCCAGCTGTCTTGACTGAGTGTTTTTTATTGTGGATTTTCTGAGTCACTCCGGTCTCTTGTGGGGATAATGGGAACGACCCATTCTTCAAGTGCCTGAGCACTGCGGGTCCCAACTTTTCGTTGGCTTGATCTATAGATATTTTGGTAGGACTCCTTGGACGAGGGATCGGCCCGTCGCAGGGCCTCTACCTGCACACAGGACAGCACAACACAGAAAGATGCGGACAGACATCCATGACTTGAGTGGGATTCAAACCCACAGTCCCAGCGACTAAGCGGCACAAGGCCCACGGCACTTGTGGGGATAGTACCTTAAATTATATCACATTCGCTGCTTTTCATATCCTTTGGAAGTAATTTTTCTGCAGTCAGCCTATAATTTAATATTGTGTAATCTAAGGAATTGAAAGTATTTTGAAATAAATAATTCCTCTGTGTGGGTATAACTAATTATTAAATTTTGAATTTATAGATTTGTATTTATTTAGACTGAAATATTATGAAAATAGTGTTTGTAATATCAAGCACTGCACATGCTTCTGTTGGTTTTATTATGATTCTAGTGTATGTGAAGATGTATTGATGGATTTTGATGGGCTTGTGGCTGCTCAGACAAGTTTAGGTACAGCAGCCATTATAGTAATGAACAAGCAGACGGATGTTGTGAAAGCTATTGCAAGGCTGATTGAGTTCTACAAGCATGAATCCTGTGGTCAGTGCACGCCATGTCGAGAGGGTATCTCGTGGATGAATAAGATAATTCACCGCTTCATCACAGGGAATGCTCAGCCTGGTGAGATTGACATGCTCTGGGAACTAAGCAAGCAGATAGAAGGCCATACTATCTGTGCTTTAGGAGATGGGGCAGCTTGGCCAGTGCAGGTACAGTATCATATTACTACTTCATCTTTTACCTTGTTACGTTAATAAAACGTGGCATTTGAATTGCTGGATGCTGTCCAAAGAAGAAAATCTTGTATTTTAATTAATATGTTTTTTATTGCGTTAAATGTGCATGGCTTCTTAGTTTTAGTAGACATTTAATTATAAAATTTGTACCATGAGTATGTACTCTAGTATGGTATAATTTCTTGTATAGGGGTTAATTCGACATTTCCGACCAGAATTGGAAGCACGTATGAAGAAGTTCCATGAGGAGACTGCAGTGGCAGCCCAGAATTGAACAAAAGGAGTTCATTGACTTGGTCATTGTAAAAAGTGTGTATGGAAGAGTGGACTGATGTTTTGCAGTTTGTTTTTCAATCTGTATAACTTTCTTCACTGGAAAGTAGGAGAAAGCCTGTACATACCACTGTACTTTCCAAAGAAAGTTACTGTATTAGAATATTTATTTGTAGTGTATATAATTGGCAGTAGTATTACTGTTTCTGACTATATTTTAAATCTTATTTAGAATTGCATTAGGTAAGTGGAAGCTTAAAGGAGGTTTGTAGATGAAGATAAATATTTAAATTTAATAGCTGCAGCAAACAGATTTTTTTTATCCTTTCAAACAGATGTCAGAAAAACTTTTATTATAATAGTAATAATGATTATTGTTATTTTTCAGTTTATTTTAATAAAAAGTTTTACCTCAGTACCTATATATCTTTATAAGAGATGGTATTTGTTTTCAGTTTGAATGGTCTCTCAACCATAGTTGCATTTTCTCAGTTTAATATGTATAGTGTAGTTACTGTACCAATAAAACATGAATATACTTTATTTGCTGATCATTAGTATAGTTTTTACTACATTTTCTTATTTCCAGTCTATTAGTTTTCTTTGTAGCTGCATTATGTAGGAAACTTGACAGTTGTGAGGAAAATTTACATCTTTTTTGTTGAACTCTTTCCTTTTTTCATATTGGCCATAATTACACTAAAAAAATAAGACTTCATTCTGTTGAATGCAGGGATTGCATATGTCATGATGGCTCTGTGCATTTATCTCATTGGTACATATGATTGTTCTTTTCTTCAAGAAAATAATCCACATCACAATTTCTTGTATTTTCTGTGGAATTTGCATCTTTTTAATGAGTTTGTAATGAGAATTACATTGAATTCCTTGGATGTCTTCATGTTTAGGAGTGAACTGTATGGTCATTACATAGGATGTGAACCGTGCATTATGAAAAGTTGGTTTATGTTAGAATATGTATATTCATAGTTTTTTCTTTCTTTGTAGTAATTTTGGGTTTATTTCTTATCTATTTATTAACAGCCACTTACATGGTGGAGGAAATGTATATTGTCCTTATTCAAGTGTTGTAAGTCAGGTTTGTGAGATTTCTGTGGTCTGAAAACTCATCATGTTAATAACATTTAGTGTTGTTACTATTAACACTGGTTAATGTATTCAGTTGTAACTGTAAGTGGTTTGTACATTTTATTAGGCTACTTTGCAACATTTGCTTCAATTATCCAGTTTTCATAAGAATTTATTTGGCATTAAGCAGCTAGTGACAATTATTGTCTGTTTTGAAATTGAATGTTTTTCAGATTTCATAAAATTTAGTGATTTTTTGGGGTTTTGTGGCAGCATGTATCAAGGTGACAGGCTTCTGCGATATGGTACTATGGTCTCATAGAAGTTGAGTGATATTTCAGAGGTGCATACTGCCTCAATCATCTGGGCAATGAGCCCTGAAGCTATTTCATAAAGTTTAATAATTGAGTGTTAAGAGATAATTTTGGCATGAAATGTAAACTCATTTTTGATTTATGATTGTGGCCACCTGCATGTAGTTACAAGAGTTTGAACTTTTCATTCAAATCAGTGTTAAATATCGTAATTTTGTTTCAAACAACTATGTCTCCTAGGATTCTGATTGCCAAATTGGGAGCGTGGAGAAACATTACCAATTGAGGTACAGCTCCATTCTTCCATTTTAATTGTATTTGGCACATACAGGTGGCAGCACAATAGGAAGCACGTGCCGTCTGTGTGGATGAATTGTCCATAACTTGCCAGTGCTGTCAATACTCGTATTTAAAATATCTTACAAACTCTGCTGTTAAGCATGAGTTAAATTCTCTTTGACCGATTTGGATCTCTGCTGTACTTGGACTTCCGTCAAGTTTGAACGTTCAATTTGATTGTGGTTTTAAGATGTGTACAAGTGTTTAAGCTGTGTAGTGCATGTTGCGAAGAATCTTTTGACCCACTACCTTACGTAATGAGTGTGAACTACAGAAGCTAGGCAAGTACAAAACTAGAAATATATAGTTATTTTTAGATTTAATCCAAACAGGCAGGTTACATAGTTAATGGAAAATGTAATTATAGCAATACGGTTTGCGCCCGCATAACCAAAGCATGAAGAAATGCTGTAGGGCGAAAAGCGGATTTTGATCGTAATGAACAGCATGCATTTATGAGACTATCTATCAAAACTTTAACATCATCAGCATATGCTGGTGATGTTAATTTATTGGGTGACGATATAAATACAATGAAGAGGAATAGAAGTTTCATTAGAGGCTAGCAGACAGGTGGGGGCTAGAAGTAAATTCAGAAAAAACTAAGTGCATGTTAGTATCTCGTCAGCAGACAGACGGGCAGAATTGTCTGAAAGTGTTACAAAGTTCAAATATTTGGGAACAACAATAACAAATCAAAATTATAATCATGAGAAAGTTAGGAGGAAACTAAATTCCGGGAATGTTTGCTACTAAATATTTTGTCTTCCCGTCTGATTTCTAAGAACCTGAGAATTAAGGTATACAAAACAATAATTTTGCCTGTTGTTTTCTATGGGTGTGAAACACGGTCTCTCACTCTGAGGGAGGAACATAGATTGCAGGTGTTTGAGAATAGGGTGTTGAGTACGATATTTAGGGTTAGGAGAGAAGATGATGGGGCATGAAGAAAAATACATAATGATGAACTTAAAAATTTATACTCCTCCTCCAGTATTGTCAGGGTGATTAAGTCAAGAAGAATGAGATGGCAGGGCATGTAGCACACATGGATGGGGCAAGAGATGTGTGCTGGGTATTGGTTGGGAAGCCTGAGGGGAGGAGACTGCTGGGGAGACCTAGATGTAGATGGGAGGATAATGTCAGGCAGGATCTATGGGAGATAGGAGTTGAAGGAGACTGGATTTTGTTGGCCCAGGACAGGGGCGAGTGGAGGGCTTTGGTTAATTCGGTGATGAACCTTCGGGTTCGGTAAGCCATCTAGTTAGTTATCTGTCAAAGTTTCAAATATGTGAATAGCTTAGAACAGCCTAATATGATGACCGGACTTATATATATGGTTAAGTAATGATGCCCAAACTTTCGGTTAACCCCATGAGGTTTGAAAAATATTTAAAATTCATGTAAGATTTGAGGTTTTCACAGCGGTGAGTATGAAGATTTCTGTCTTCTGGGTTATTGCGCCGTGTAGTCTGGTCGATGCTAACCAACGTTTCAGAGGTCATACTGCCTCCGTCATCAGGGCGATGATGACGGAGGCAGTATGAGCTCTGAAACGTTGGTTAGCATCGACCAGACTACACGGCGCAACAACCCAGAAGACAGAAATCTTCATTTAAAATTCAGTTTTCTATTACAAGGATCAGTTGGTTGATCATGATTTGTTCTGAGGCACACAAAACCCATAAATGCAATTTGTGGGCAAAGTGCAGGGTTATTGAATGTTATCACTGTACTTTAATGGGGTAAGTTTAAGTTTTGTCACCAGAGTTTCAGCAGCCATTGATGTTTATAATTGTGTCGGTAGCTTCTATCTTCTCCTGGAAAACTTCCAGAAACAATGTTAAAGCCTTGTTGCCAGTGTTTCAGCAGCCATTGATAGTAATTATATGTGCGCACATGCATGCATATTACTAATGTACTTTAAGGACTAATATAAGACTCTTCATTAATATTTTTTCCTTTATAAGTCCATTTAAAATTATATCTGTGTAATTCCTATGGAACATCAGTTTGATTTGTATTCACCATATTAAGAGCTGTGTAAGAATAACATATTTCATCACATATTTTTGTAGGAATAAGATTAAAGTAAAAGCTCCATATAAATTTATTTTGCAGTCTATAGTTCATGTTAGTGTGGTTCTGAAATGTGTGATAAAAGCCTGGCCAAGCATAAAGGTCCCCCATTAGAGAACGGGATTGGAATAAGATATTTGCTACCTCTAGGTTTTTGCCACAGATAAAAATCATGTGTTTGTGAGATTAGAAAAGATCCCTGTTTTTAGCTGCAGCAGGGCAAAATTCATTTCACGTGCCCAACCAAATATTAAAAAATACTGAATATTGCGTAAGTGGCTTTAAATTTTTCTGCCAGTGTTCATCTTAGGTCTTACAACTAGCACATTACATTCAAGAGATATTAAAGTTATCAGATATCTGCAATTTATTTAAATTAAATATTATATACTTGTGAAGTGTATATGACAAAATATTTCTCAGTTTACACAAACTTTACTTCACAAGCTTACTCACCTTGCCTGTCATAGTGGCCTTGCAGTCAGAGGTGTGGGCTCTGTGTGCTTTGACACTGGGACCATAGGTTCAAATCCCACTCAAGGCATGGATGTTTATCGGCATCTTTCTGCGTTATGCTGCCTGTATACAGGTAGAGGCCTTGCGACGGATAACAATATTGAATTCATTTGAAATGTTAAGCACTCGTAACTACTGGCCCATACTGAAACACCAAATCGTTGGTAGAGCATGCAAAGCTGCACACATTCTCAAGCCCCTACATTAGGTTTCTCAACCTGTGGCCTGTACATTTTTTATAATGAAAATATCTACCAGATATAAAAAACACACATTTAATTAAATTTGTATCTGGCAGTATGTATTGCTGTGATCAACTGTTCAGCTTAATCAAGAACCAAGGCGCATCGTACCAAAGACATGAAATGACAGGCAAATCACAGCAAAATTAAACCTGATGCAGAAAGATCACTGAAGCAAAAGGACTTTTAAGCAATCTCTCTCACAAGTGACCAATTTTGTTAAAGAAAGTTATTATGTGAACGTGATAGCAATAGTTGGCATAAATTTAGTACCAGGATACTGGGAACGACCCATTCAAGTGCCTGAACACTGCGGGTCCCAACTTTTTCTTTGGCTCGATCTATAGACATTCGGTAGGACTCCTAGGACAAGGGATCGGCCCATCACAAGGCCTCTACCTGTACACAGGACAGGACAGCACAGCACAGAAAGACGCGGACAGACATCCATGGCTTGAGTGGAATTCGAACCCATGGTCCCAGCGACCAAGCGGCACACGGCTCACGCCTCAGACCGCACGGCCACTGCAGACCCCCATAAATTTAGTAGCATTATGCAACAAATTATAGTGGTGTTGCTTGAGCCTCCAGGTTCATTAAAGGCTGAACACCAGCTTCAAATTCCACCAAATTTATGTGATTATTATAAGAGAGAAATACTCTCTCTGTCTCTCTACTGGAATTAATTCTGACCAGTCAATCCTTAGAGATTGTATTGCTGACCAAACTGCCACTACTTTGCGATTTGAATCAAAATTATTAAAAAAAATAATCAGGAGTGATATTGTATCCTTATTTGAGGCACAGGATGATTTTGTGAAGCTGCAGCATTGTGTGTTTAACCTTCACAGTCCACATTGAAGTGTTTGCTTTGTTAATAAAAAAAAAAGGCTGCTTAGAAAGCACGTTTATTTTGTTGTATTGCTGAAAATAGAAATGAACATAACAGAACATTTGAAAACAAAAATGCCCTCTTTGCCTCGGTGGTACATATATATGTATATAAGCATACGTGTTCACAACAAAAATTGCCAATGAATTTGAACTATTTATTGACACCATTTTGTAATCATTAACAGAAACAAGAAAAATTCACAAGAAATGCTATTTACACAAACAATTACATCCATACATCAGTTCCAATACAACACTTTCCTGGGGGCTTTACATGCACCACTGGAGATCACACGGAACTTTTCTGAATCATTGCAATTAACAGACGAGGATACTAGAGAAAGCCGAAATGCACGCCAACTGTAACAGCGATTTTTTTATTGTTACACCAATTCATATTTCCATGTAACACACTTGAAGAGAAGAACTGAATTTCATGTTGAAGTTCCCCTCCTTTGTAAGGAAATGTTTGATGCAATGTCTACATTCTTATTTTCAAATTTGTTTTAAAATTCATTCTAGAACTGAAATAGCATCTACTCAGTCTTTAATCAATATATTTCTTACAATCCAATCTTCAGATTTGGAGTATCAAATTCACATACCTGGGTCTTTTTAAATACCTCCTCATTCACCAATACACCTCAAATTTATTTTGAATTTAATTCCAATTTCTGAATGCCTCATCATCCAAAATCACAATGTATTATAATATCACACTTTTGAACATAGCACTCACTCACATAAAATGCCTTCTGGAAGATTTAATAAATTCAATGAATGCCAGAAGTCTTGCCAGTACCAATCTGTATTGCACATCGGCTACTACAAGAGCTTGCATCATTATGCTCCTTAACCAAAACATTGTATTCACCCAGATGATAGATAAGGACCACCTGCAATGTCCGTCACACCACAAGACAGTCCATCTAGGCTCTGCCACTATTAAGGTCGTGGAACAGACAAAATTTCTTACTGGCATTCAGTGAATGTGCGATAAAACGAAGAAGTGAAGTGGAAATGTGAATGCAGTAGGGTTAATGTGATTTTAATCGGAAGTGCCCACAAACATTCTTTGTTGCTCTATATACAGCATTTTGACTCGGAAGTGCTAACATTATTTCAGGTTATTATTTCCAAATATGTCAGTGGTCAAACTACAGCAGCGTCTTTGTATGTGGACACGCTACGAATAGCTCAAGCAGTCTTCAACTTAAAAATGCTACGACGATACAGCAAAGTATAGAATTTCTACAGCACATGGTCTGGTACTTTGCACGTGCGCTCTCATCCGAAGTATGACGACAGTTCAGTTGCTGTGTTATAATAAATGACTAACGATGGAAGAACTTCAGACATAATCAATCTTGATGGAAGTTTAGTACTGCAGTTAGACCATGACCATAATTCTATTAATAATACTGCAGTTTGTCCAACAGACTTGGAGTGGTTCAGGCGATCCAGACCGTGATTTGGAAGTATATCTCTTGAGCCAATTTTATTTATGGAAGTGCTGCACAGTTTTTATTAACGAATGTTTCATTGAGCCTCACATTGGGTACTATCTGATCTCCACGCAGAGATGCTTCAACCTGTTCCTCACGAGCGAGCCACGGATGCAGCAGTACATCGGCTGCCGAGAGACGTTCGCTCGGTTCTCGTCGAAGTAAACTGCGAATCAAGCACTTGGCTCTTGAAGAAAGACAGTCAGGAATGATAAAATGACCCCTGGTGATCTTGGCAAAGAGGCTGGCATGTTCACTGGCATTAAATGGATACCTGTGAAAGAAAATGAAACTGTCATTGACTGTCATCCATACACTACAAGAATATTATGTGTGTGTCCCATAACAGTGAAAGGAGAGTCTCCAGAGGTGACGGAGACACAGGTACTACATATTCTGAGGCTTAGAGTGAACACAAAAAAGGTCATGATTGAAAATTTTTGTATATACTGAAACCTTGTGGTTATATTATTTGGGGAGTTAAAGAGATGATTGTATAAGTGTGATTTTTTTCACCTACCTTCCAACGAGCATCGTGTAAAGTATAATGCCTAAACTCCACATATCCGCAGCGCGACCCGAGTACCGAGCATGACTTCGAAGGATCTCTGGGCTCACATATGCGGGGCAGCCACGTTTATCTTGAAGGTGGTCATCGTCTGGATCCTCCAGAACAACGGCATCTTCCAGAGTTTCCAACTTTAAATGATTCCTGGAACAATCAAAATCAGACACATCTAAAATTGGTAGTCACACACAAAAAAAAGTTTTTACATCGAACACACCGAGGATTGTTATAAATGAATAACAACATGGGTACAGGCAAAAATTTACATGACAATTAAGAACTAAACTCTGTGGAACAGAATCCTTCTTCAGAAGCTAATACTACTGTCGGTCAATCAGCAGATTTCTGTCTTCTGTGTTGTTGCGCTGTGTAGTCTGGTCGATGTTAACCAACGTTTCAGAGGTCATACTGCCTCCGTCATCAGGGCGAGGAGTATGAAGATTTCTGTCTTCTGGATTGTTGCCCTGTGCAGTCTGGTCGATGTTTACCAGACTACACGGCGCAACAACCCAGAAGACAGAAATCTTCATACTCTGATGATGGAGGCAGTATGACCTCTGAAACGTTGGTAAACATCGACCAGACTGCACAGGGCAACAATCCAGAAGACAGAAATCTTCATACTCTGATGATGGAGGCAGTATGACCTCTGAAACGTTGGTAAACATCGACCAGACTGCACAGGGCAACAATCCAGAAGACAGAAATCTTCATACTCTGATGATGGAGGCAGTATGACCTCTGAAACGTTGGTAAACATCGACCAGACTGCACAGGGCAACAATCCAGAAGACAGAAATCTTCATACTCTGATGATGGAGGCAGTATGACCTCTGAAACGTTGGTAAACATCGACCAGACTGCACAGGGCAACAATCCAGAAGACAGAAATCTTCATACTCTGATGATGGAGGCAGTATGACCTCTGAAACGTTGGTAAACATCGACCAGACTGCACAGGGCAACAATCCAGAAGACAGAAATCTTCATACTCTGATGATGGAGGCAGTATGACCTCTGAAACGTCGGTTAACATCAACAAGACTACACAGCGTAATAACCCAGAAGACGGAACGCTTCACTTGTTGTACCATATTCCAGGATGGAAATGCAGCATGTTGAGGGGAGGAGAGTTGAATGAAATTCGAAAATGCATTACCTCTGTAACCTCTGAAGCTTATCTTCTGTCTAAAATATGCTTCTAGCTTAACCACCAGAAAATGGCAGCCTGATACTCTGCATGCTTACCCCACTTTGAAGATCCAGTAGATAAAAAGGTGTCCGCTAATCTTATGTTTCGCATTGTTTTCCTCATTTTTTTTATAGTTTAATTCTTCATTTTCATTTCACGTCTGTCTATGTGACTACTTTCTTGAGGCAAATTATGTTATTAAAATAATGTAAAATTCATCAGATTAGCCATTTATTTTAAAATGAAGTGCGGTTTCATTTTTTAGGTATTAAGTGCATTAGAGCATGCATGCAGGGCCAAAACATTATATCCGATAGACAGAATGAAACCAAGTCTTGTAATTGGATTTGAAATGGTGGACAGTGTTGGTGGCGACGTCAATGTTGTTGGTTTGGTTGTTACCGTTTAATATTATAATTGTTAGATATTATTATTTACAGTATGGCAACTTGATTAGAGTTGATATGGAATGCAATATCTAAACTACATTTGGATTTATGGGGTTTTGGAAGACCACGTTCAGGAAGATGGGGCTGGCTTGGAGACGAAATCTGTCTCTTTGAATTGAACATTTTTTAACACTACCCTTTGTACTCAGCCAGAAACAATTCAAGGCAAACAGCGAATTATGTCATCGTACATACAAAATGACGCCATAGGCTCCGGGTGTGCAACATCCGCGTGTCCTAACCAGAGATTGCATATACGTTACAGAAACTGTAATGGGTCCCACCACAAAATTCATATTTCATCATGGATTGTGGAAATCACTTCTGGTGGCCAATACCGGAAGACGTTATTAATAAACATCCCGCGAGGAGGATAGAATTGCCCGCATAGCTATTGTAAGCCATACACTGGTGTGTTAACGACTTCGGGCGTCCGCATACAGCTGACATTACGCAAATCGGTCCGTATCAGAACGTCAGTATGTTACTAGCTGCAGAAAGGCCACAAAATCCAAAAAAATAAATTAAAACTAAATTGTGTATTTTGCATTTCATCGCTCTGAACGAACAGCTTTGGTGAAACATCTTAAATAAAAATTAGTTGAAATAATATTATGTTGTGCTTAGCGTATAATTCGGTTTGCTACAGACTCTGAACTGTTTTATTAAAACAGTACTTGATAGAATTCAAGTGCAACTCATTCCTGTTACCTACATAAAGGCGGTTGTGCCCTACCTGAAATTGCTAATTCTGATAAAACACAGAAGGCGTATTCAACATTTCATTCAATTAAAAATAAAACTCTTTCATATCGTCCCTCTACACGACCTTGGGATATAAACAAATTTACATAAAACATGTTCTGTTCAACATTACACTTTGTGCAAATACACTAGCGACTAGTAAATCCAATATCCTTACATTTTCCCAAAACAGGACGATGTATGTATCGGATTGTAGGGAACTGTAACACGACACGCCCTGAGTCATGTAAGACGTCCCATGTGTGGCTTACATATCATCCACGTCACGTATTTACTGTTAAAGGTATGGCAGTCCTAGCATGCTTGCATAATAAAGCCTTCATACATAAAAGAATGTCCGTTGTTTTGTCGTACGGTATAGTCAGTAATATATTTCAAACGATTTCTTAAGCTGGGAATGGTTAAATCTGAAAGAATGCGCCTTTTTAACAGATATATTGGGAAACACATTGGATAATATATACGTCTCTATACAACAACAACAAAAACTGTCGAGAGGTGAGGTCTTTGCACTTTATCGTGTCTCCTCCCTCATTTTGCGCAAGTCGTTCTGGTGGTAAGTGTTACTGCAATGGCGTTAGAGTAACAAGTACCAATTCACTGCCCAGGTATGGATGTATTGTACGGACAAGTAACAAATCCCCTTCCTTTTTCATTGATCTGTCGTAACCATGGCAGCAACTTGTTTCCTGCCACTGTCCTCGTCTCATACATGTTGCTCAACGCCCTATTCGGCTCAATATGACGTCACCTCTACTACCCGTAGGCGGGTACACTTATATTGCTGATGATTTATAGCTCCCAGCTTCTTAATTTTTAGACTAACTCACCAAAGCGAGTCTGGTTTCGTGACGCAGACGTCGTGATGCGTACACTTCAAGTCCCAAGTGTATAAACGCCCCATTAGTTCTGCTTGGTTAGTATATATACCCCGTATTCACCACCTACTTTGTGAGTTTGTCTAGGGTTAGGAATCTGATACCGCTGACCTACTCTATTCGTAATGTCCTAAATTAGCTCAGTCACCTGTCTTTCAGTATGCTTGGCTGGGTTTGTCTTCGTTCCACCTTGTTCTGGACTTGAATCTTACTGTGCGGGCACACCAAATATAACCCTGAAATGAGCTCAACAATCTGCAAAGAATTAATGGGTCTGTAGTAAACAAGAGTAGTTTAAAGGATTTGAGTTTCGCTTCCAGACGGAAAATACCAGCCTTGAACTACACCAAGTGAATTTACCAGACCAACAGCGTCGTTATGTACATCTTATTATGCATTATGCATCCTTAGTAGCTTCTCTGGTCTGCATTTTTCGTTTCATTCAGTGTTACATTTGACGTCTATTTCAAATAGAGGAATACGTAATCAGTACCACTTCTAGGATGTTGCGCTGCGCCGTGTCGTCTGGCAGTTTACGGACGTTTCAGATGTGCTCGTTGACTCCTATCAGGACGATTATAGTCGCCTATGACTTTAAAAGTAAAGGAACTCATGCGACCATCATCTTTGTGTTACAGAATAAATCCGCACAAAAATATCGGTATAAATGTTAGTGACAAATTACCTTATGGGAGGAGGGGGGTGATGACTGTTCGGTCTTAGAAGGTTCCCATTCAGCGTCCGTTTGGCTGATAGCTGAAATGCAAAAGCCGGGCCGAACAGGAAGTGAAACGTGCAAAAGATATTTGTAAACGTCATCTTACTTAAGTTACAGCATCGACTCTTCACTTCCTACTCTCCGAAAGAGAGGGTTGTGATTACGAAACCGAAAGGAAATACCTGGCAGTAGTGTCATGTGACTTTCGGGCTCAGCGCTTGGTGCAGAAATGCCACAATGCGATATTATTCCAATTTTAGCATGGCGTATGTGCACAAAAGGAAAAGGGAGAATATAATAGGTCGTGCTTGATGAATTTCGATAAGAATTGGTATGAGGGGAGGGGGGGGTTATATTTCAAAGTTATTGAAATGTTCAGATTCCGTTTGGTCCAGTATATCTCCATGTAAAAAGCTCAAATTGAATTCCACCAGTCCCTTAGAAAAACATCGTACACACAATTGTTACACAACCTCATGAACATCTATAAAGCATGTCTGAATCACTTTTCGAGATGGTAAACTCTTAACAAGCGAAAAAATCATCAGACTCTTAGTAGTGTAAAATCTCTATTTTGTCTTTGCAGTATTGGGTTTCCATCTGCTACATTTGTATAAGCAGTGAAGACGTTACGAATTTCGAGGTGTGGACATCACATGCATAACATCCGTGCCATATACTCCGATTATTAGGGTCGCGTTGTCATTGGATGGCGAGGCTACGCAAGCCTCAGGGTCGCTGGAAACGTGTGAATAAATTTTTCTGGAAATTATTCTCAAACACCCAAAAGGTAAATCAAACTTCTGCAGCAAAATCATTACAACTCGTTCCTGCGTAAAGGAAAGTTAAAATCGATTTACTCCGATATAAAATTATTCCACATTATCACGGCACACGACGTATTAATCTTGAAAATGGGTAAAAAGTGGTAACTTGTGGCGCAGAGTGACCTCAGGCCTTGTGTCATCTTAGAAGCCGTTCAGAATATTTGGTAAGAGAATAAACTACTGAAATCAGGGGCCAACAACCTAAATTATTATTATTATTGCCATATATAAAAAAAAGACTTTCAATTGCTCAAGTAAATGAAATAAAAGCAAGTGGTATTTCACGCTTGTTCGTTTCGAAATCTCTCTCTCTCT